TTTATTGCTATGGATAATATGGGGACTGGATCGGAGTACCGCGAAAATATTATCAACCCGGGTCCAAAAGCTTCAGGTGTGCATGTGTTAATGAAGATAAACTTAATAACAAAAATTTACAGGAATACGATGGCTGTGATTCATCTTCTAACAGTTGCAAAGTGAAACATGATAAATAGAAAAATACTTATTTATGTATAAAATGTTTTTTTTTCTTTAAATAAAACGTTCTTATTGTACAAAAATTAATTACATTACTTACATTAAATAAATTAACCGGAACAAATAACAACACGATAAATACTATAACTTTTGCATACAATAACTAAAAATAAGTAAGTATTATATACCTAAGTATCAACATGTTACAGGATAAAAAACAATTTAAGTATTTTCTATTCGATATCCGTACACTTCATTTAATATAAGTAATTGAATTTTGTTTCTAATATACAATTTACGTTCTCGAGACAACGATCGAAGATCGGGTAACAATGATTTAAAAAATAAAAGATCATCGTCATCGTTTGTTTCGGAGGGTTTTGTTATCGTAGCCTCTTTAGTAGACCTTTTTGGTTGATTTTCATCTTCTAACGTGACTATTTCCGGTAGAATAATGTCGGCTCCCTCTTCTTCGTTTTCTTCCTTTATTCTTACGTTACCTAAACCATCAGCAAATCCCTTACTTGTACCATTCCCTTCCATGGACTTTGTCTTTTTACCATTATCTTCCGATTTGACCATCTCGGTGTAAAATGTGTTCGATACTTCAGTCTCATTTTTAACTTGAACAACAACTATTGCAAATAAATAAATTTTATTAAAGCGTGTTTAATATTCGTACTAGAATTAAAATTTGTTTTTTACCCCTTTCAATATTATCCAAATTGTGATCGTCGTTATGTTTTTCGGAAGAACCCGAAATTACTACATCTTCGTTCCTATTTTCAAAATCTTCTAATCCAATAGTTTCATTTTTATCTTCAGTATTTACCAATGTACCTACATATCAATTTTTAGAAATTTATTCGCACATGTTAAACATGGCGTTAAAGGATAATAATGGATGCTAAAGGAAAGAAGCAATGAGGTAACTATTTTGTTTTATAATCATCTCAAATACAAAATGCATTTAAATCTTTACCGCTCTTTTTGGGTGGAATTATATTATGACGAACTCGAAAACGTTGAATCCAAGACGAAGAACAATTAAAATTAGTTTTCCCCAAACTTCGGGCGATTTCGTTAGCTTTTTCTTGAAGAACTGGGCCATTCAAAATCGTTGCATCTGCCCTTTGGCTTTTAAACCATTCTAATAAAGCGTCTTCAATGGGTTTATAATCAGACGATCGCGCGCGTTTCATATTCAAATAATTGTTCTGATAAAAATTTCTTATTTTATCCCTATTTTTCCAAATCGACGAAATTGTGGAACGAGAAATGCCATATTCTTTTGCTAAACTTGTATTCGACTCTCCGTTCTCCAATCTCCATACTATGTGCGCTTTTTCTTCGATGTTAAATACTTTTCTCTTCTGTTGGGCCATTTTGAATTACGCGCGAATGTGGATCACTTCGTTATAACACCGCGACCTCTGCCTAAACCACAACGTTCATAGCCTAAACGGACTTTTAATTAAGAAGAAAATTAAAGAATAAAAACAAACGATGAAAGTAACAAAACGCAAAGCCGGCTCTAAAGTGCGGAACAGACGAAACAAAAGGCAACATCCACATGTATTTAATTGTAGCGAATGAGAAAATTACTTTTATTGAGTCGCAATAACCGATACGCACCAAACGAACGCTACAGTAAAACTGCAGCTGCACGCTTTAAGCGGTGTCGTTGTAGACGGTATTAAGATGGGCGTGTACGCTACACAAACATGGCGGTCGAGCGTGCGCATAAATATATTTTTTTACTTGTGTGATAACAATAAATAAAAACACATTTAAATGTTTCGGAAATAGAATTTACTGGAAATTTAAAAGTGTTTTTATTATTCATTGTCATTAAATCTTTACACAATGTTTCATAAAGTACCGACCAACAGCTTTGTAAGTATTTTTACCTCCTCATTGCTTCTGTTTTATTTAAATAAAATTAATGTAGTGAACAATTTAAAGGCGTGTTTACCTTGTTCACTATCGTGTCTGATACTGTGCCGCTTTTTAAATCTGTCAATCCAACTGTAACTTAAATAAAAACAGTCCGATCCTCTCAATTTAACACCAATTTCTTCTGCTTTGGTACGTAAGAACCTACTAGTCACTATAATACCTTTAGCTTTCTGTTCCACATACCATTTATATAAAGCTTCATCAACATCGTCGTAAACGGGCTTTCTATTTTTTTTAGAATTGATATTTTTTCTTTTAATAGCTTTAAAAAGGATTTTTCGATTTTTCCAAAGTGAAGATACTGTCGATGACGGCATATTTCTCTCGCGACATATTTGACTTTGTTTTTTACCCTTTTCAATTTCTCTTATAACTTTTAATTTTTCTTCGAAAGTAAACGTTTGCCGCCGTTTTTTATTAATTATAAAATCCATAATAATTTT